AGCCCTCCCCGGCTGGCTGGCTCTGAGAGGGGCCAGCTGGTAACCCCGCCACATCTCAGGGACGTCTCGTGGGGTACGGAGGGGCGCGGAGGGGATCCACCCCACACTGAGCTCTGTCGAAACTGAGACCAGTTAGAAGACCCACTCACGTGTGGACGGTTTGTTACTTAGAAACTTTATCCTGAGACCCACCCTGACGTGCAGAGGGCTCAGGCGCAGCACTGCAAGCCAGCCACGGCCACTTCAGCATTCGAAATCGGCCAAGCTGACCCCCAGGACCCCCAGAGCACAGCAGACCCCTCCTGTCTCCCCGCTGCTCCCTCAGCAGTGTGCTTCAGTCCATCGGCCTGTTCTGCTCCCCGCTCTCTCCTGTGAATCCTCTCACCCCTGCACCTCTGGCCTGTACCCCAGCTCTGAGTGCATGAATAAATAAATCTTTTTTTAAAGAAAAGGTCCTTATTTAAGGTCCAGGCGGAGGGGCAAGGCTGGGGTGGGAACCTTGAACTTGGGGCTGTTACTGGCTTCATTCTGGGGATCAACTCTGCCCGGCATACTGGTAAGCGTCACTGATTCATTGTCTCAAAAAAGAAAGCAAAGCCACTTCCACGCCCCATGAAAGCGTCCCTGTGTTCTCTGGCAGGCGCGGCTTCTCCGACCCCCATGGGCGTCCGTGAACCTTGCCCCAGAGCACAATAAAGTTCCTGCCTTTCGGAAACTGGCTCTCTCTGAGCTGCTCTGAACCTTTCGGATTCCGCAGACAGAGCGGGGAGCAGAGCAGGCCTGGACTGAGACCCCCTGCTGAGGGGGCAGGGGGAGACAGGAGGGGCCTGCCGCCCTGGGGTCCCTCCTGGCTGGGAGCCAGCTGTCTCTGCCACTCTGCGCCCTCTGATGCTGCCTCTCCGTGCTCAGGCTCTCGGCCAGCTGCGCCCAGGCCCGCAGGCCCCCCATGCCGGGCCGTCAGCTGGTGCCCCAAGCCCGCGCCCAGGCGCCTGCCCTCAGAGCCCAGCGGGCAAAAGCCTGAGCGGCTGCCTTTGCCCTACACTCCTGTAACAAAGTCATGGAAGCTATTTTTGCCCCAAGATAATTCCTAAGCGGACTGATAACATTTAAGAAGTAATTTTATTTAATCTGAAATAACTATGTCCAGGGCCCTCCCTGGCGGTGCAAGGGGTGAAAGTGCAGCACTGTGAAGCTGCCCGCAGCCCCTGCAGGCTGAGTTCCACCCCCCTGTGACCCCAGGGTGCGGCAGACCCCTCCTGTCTCCCCGCTGCTCCGCTCAGCAGTGGGTTTCAGTGCATCTGCCTGCTCTGCTCCCCACTCTCTCCCGTGAATCCTCTCACCCCCGCACCTCTGGCCTGTACCCCAGTTCTCTATACAGAAATAAATACATCTTAAAAATAAAATCGAATGACTATGTCCAGTTCTACTTAAAAATAGAGTTAGCTTTTTGTTAACTTTAGACACTTGCTAAATGACTTAAATTTTAGGGCATTAAATACTTAAGTGCATAAAGTATCTTAAATATAAACCAATTTAATGGTCAAATGGTCATTGACCATAAAAGGCAGCGCTTAATTTTTGAAGCCGAGTTTTCGGTGACTCCTATAACAGACCTGAAGTATTTTATGTTTTGTTATAAACCAGTAGTCATGAACTTTGGTTCTGTTTCTCCCGTCAAAATACAATTTATGGATGATGCATCTCATCTGTTCGGTTTTAGTGAACTTTCCTGATTCTTTGTGCTGGTATGGAGAGAGCTTGTACCCATCGGCCTGTGGGGGGGCTGAGCTGGTGGGACCCTCCCCCACCCCCGCACAGGGCACCTGCCGGGTTTTGATCTCACCTCCCTGAGAAGAATTTGGACTTTGCGCCTAGGGCTGGAGGAAGGGAAGTTTCGGTTCTGCGGCCCTAGGTTGCTACGCAGCCCTGAAGCCATGTGACCACCTGAGCTGCAGGTAGAGGCCACAGGTGGGCTGGGGGAGGGGAGGGCTGGGAGTCAGCATTAGACGAAGACAAAGTTCCAATTGGGAAAATGAGTATGAGCTAGAGATGAGGGACACTGCTGAGGGGAGCAGGGCAGGACAGAGGGTTTGCTGTACCTTGCGGGTCACTCCCGCTTCCTAGTGGTGCGCTGTAACCCTTGGTGATAACAGGGAGGGCCCAGAATGGGCCTTGCAGCGACGGGCTATATTAGTGGCTATGTAACGACACACATTTAGCTGCTTAAAATAACTCCCAGTGTGTTCTCACTGCTTCTGCGGTCCTGAGCCCAGCACAGCATGGCTGGGGTCTCTGCTCCGGGTTCCACAAAGCCGCCACTGAGGTGCTGGTAGGGCTGTGTTCTCATTGGAAGGCTGGCGGGGAAGGAGGTGCCCCAGGCTCCTTGACGTCTCAGCAGAATTACTCTTCTACTTGGAGGGCTGAAGGCCCAGCATTCTCACAGGTCCTGGGGACTCAGTCCCACCCACAGTGGTAGACACTTCTGTCTGCTGCTCCCAGGTCTTTATGCATGGCTCACCTGATTAGATAAGGCCCACCCAACCTCATCTCCCTCTTGATTAACTCAAAGCCAGCTGATGACATCTTAATCACATCCGAGAAACTCCTTCACCTCTTCCAAATACCATCCCATCTCCACTCAAGGGGTTACAGCAGGGTGTGCAAACAGGGACAGAAATCTGGTGCCACTTCAGGATTCTGGCCACTTGAGGGGAGTAGGGCGTGGATCTGGTGGGTAGGATTAGGTCCGAACCTCATCCCCAGGGCTACTCACTGGATTGTAGTTCTTAAGTAAGCAGCCGTCTTCACTCTCTGAGCCTGTTTACCTTCAGTACAGTTAGATAAACCAAGGACCCACAGAACTGATGGGTCCACTGAAATCCGTTGCTGAGGGGAGCAGCGGGGAGACAGGAGAGGTCTGCTGTCCCCTCTGGGTCACTCCCTGGCTGGGGAATCAAACTCAGGCTGCAGTGGCTTCGATAGCTTCATAGGGCTGAGACTTAACCTCTGCACTGTCACGGAGGCCCATGTCTGGCCTATTTCCCTGAGCACTCTCAAGTCTCAGCCATGTTGTAGTGTATGTTAGAATGTCCTTTTCAGGGCCGAGTAATATTCCAGTGTGTGAATGGGTCACATTTTCTTTACCTGCTCTCTGTTCACAGACCCTTGGGTTGTTCCCATGCCTTGGCTGTTGTGAATTCGGCTTCTGTGAGCATGGCTATGTGTTTATCACCTGAAGTTCCTGATTCCAGTTATTTTTGGACACACCTGGAAAGGGGTCGTTGGCTCACGCGCTCCTTCTATTTTTACCTTTTTTCAGGAACTGCCACACTGTTTTCCACAGTGGCCCCCCATCTCACATTCCCACCAGCAGTTTACAAGTTTCCAATTTCTCCACACCCAGCCAACACTTGTTTTCTTTTGCTTGTTTGCAGATGGTTGTGGATTTTACCATTGGAATGGTAACGCCCTTTGAGAGGCTGGGCGTTCCGGGAAAGCCTGGTGGCCTCGGCGGGGCGGCCTGGCTCTCATCTGCGTGGGGTTGTGTCTGTATCACAGTGCCAGGCCCCTCCGGTCTGTTCTCTGAGTGTCACGGAGAACACACTGGATAGCTGAGGCCCTATTTAGCATCGAGTCCAGACTCCGAAATCCAAGCTCCGTTTGGGGTGAGAGGTGGACTCTGGGGCTACCTTTTCAGCTCTACTTGCAAAGAGCCTGAGGGGCTTGGTCACCTGGATGCCGTGGGCTGTCTCCCTGCAGCCACCAGAGGGCACTACAGCCCCCGCAGGGGGGTGCTGGAGTCCCTCATTGTAGTCCATGGGGCTGAAAGCCAGCGCCCCCTCCCTCCTCCCCACCCTCCTGCTCTCCCTCGTTCCTTGGCTCACTCATCTCCAGTTACGCAGACCCCCACTCCCACAACAGCCAGGCCAGGTGCTGGCCCAGGGCCTTAGCACAGGGCACCCTCTGCCTGGTTCTGGCCTGTTCAGAGGCCGCTCTGGCCTGGCTCCCCTGCCCACACGGGCTCAGGAAGACGCTTGCGGGTTTCATTGTGCTTGTGCTGTGCCCCCCCCCCCAATCTTAAGTGTCTGTGTTTAGCCCCGTGAGCTCTGTGGGCGTGGACGCTGGGTCTGGTCACTACTGTGCCCAGCAGCTGGCGAGAGGCTGACTGTGGCGCTCATTGAGAGCCTACGGTTTTCTGAGCCCAGGGCCCAGGGCGACACACCCACACCCCTCGTCTGGTGAGGCAATAGACAGGAATCCGACCCTCAAGAGCCAGCGTCACTGCCCGTACTGTGCCCCAGGCCGCTCTGTTAGGCAGCTGACCGGGCCACCACACGAAGGGCAGCTCCCTCCCTGGCCGCTCCGGCACTAGCGAGGAAATGGAGGGCAGCTGCATTCCAGAATGGCCCTCTGGGCGGGGGCTTGTCCGCATGACTGGAGCCGACCAGGGTGACTCAGGCAATGACCTTTAAAATGCTTACATTTCAGCGTTCCTGCAGCTTCCTCGAGGAACCCCTGGCCAGGGTGGCGTGGCGGAGAAAACTAGGGGCCAGAGTTACACAATACAGATCCCAGACACAGTCACAGTTGAGCTTCCAAAAGACAATGGCGAGATTTTTTTTTTAATAGTTTATTTTTCCATCGTTTTGTGCCTCAGTTGCAATCCCGGTGGCTTCCCGTGGCCAGATCAGCCTGTGCCATCACCACAGTCCCTGCTCTTCCCTCCCCCCACCGGCTTGACCCCCTTCCCCGCTCCGGCCCCGTAAAATGGTAAAATGTCGCTGGTACGTAGTGGTTCCTCATTATCATTATTTTCTAATGGCGGGACTTTCTAAAGGTGTCCTGGACAGCACCTGGGGCCCAGGTACACTGCAGAAGGGGGGTGCCGGGACCGGGTCTCCGCCTCTCCCTCACCCCTCTGGCAGCAGCCACCCAGACGTGCACGAGCGGCCCCTGACCACCGCGGAGTGAGCGAACCCCAGAGCCCACTCTGAGCACGGCTAAGCAGAGGGACTGCTCAGCCGGTGGGCGCCGGGCGGGACGGAGCCCTGGCCCCCCGGCACCACGCGTCCCTCGGGAGTGGGGGAACGCGAGAGACGGGGGCACCAACCTGCTGGGAAGCCGGCGTGGAGGGCGGGAGGAGACTGGGCTTTCAGTCAGAAACCTGGTTTATATTCTGCCCGGCCAGTGGCCTGGGAGGGCTCTGGCTCCTTCCCTATGATGCACCGCGTTGGAGAGATGGGAAAGAATATCCTTCCTCTGCGTGAGAGAATGAGGGCCCCCCACCCCCACCCCGGGGCTGCAGCCGGCTCGCTAAGCGTCCGCCAGTCTCCCTGCTGTCCTCCTCTCCCAGGGCAGCCTCCTCCTCCGGACATTCTGCCGAGGACTCTCGAGGACTCTCGCAACCCCTCACAGGCTCCTTCCAGACGTCAGCCTAGTGGGTGAATAGAGCAGCCCCCTTTTCTAAAGGGGACGCCCCGCTAACATGAAATGAAGCAAGACAGCTCAAGGCCCCATCAGAGCCGGAGCCCAAGGCCCTCGGGTTAAAGCGCAGCACGTGAAGCTGCCACAGCCACCGCTGCAGGAGCTCCAGCCCCGGCCAGGGCGGGACCCCAGGGCGCCGCAGACCTCTCCTGACCTGCCTGCTGCTCCCCTCAGCAGAGACAGAGCGGGGAGCAGAACAGGCAGGTGCACTGAAACCCACTGCTGAGGGGGCAGCGGGGAGACAGGAGGGGGCTGCGGCGCCCTGGGGTCCCGCCCTGGCCGGGGCTGGAGCTCCTGCAGCGGTGGCTGCTGCTGGCCTCTGCGAGCTGCGCCCTAGGAGGACCCTCTCTCTTTCCTTAAGACAGCAAGTCACCCCATCAGTGGAGAGGACTCTGCCGAGGGCCCTGAGATGGGGGTCGTGTATTCCTGGGGCCAGTGTCCTCCTGAGGCTCTTTATAGAGAGTCGGGCAGAGGGGTTACAGGAAGACACCGCAGCTGGAGGACCGGGAAGGGCTGGGGGGCCCCTAGAGGCTGGAGCAGGCTGGAGAGGGGCCTGCGGCTCAGAGGAGCAGGCACCCCGCTGGCTCAGCCCCATGAGACCCTCTGGGACACTGGGCCCCAGGCCTGTGAGGTGATACACGTGCGCGGGGTTTCTGTTCGCCTGTGGTGCCCAAACCCAGAACGCGTGTGGTTCTAAGCCCCTGTGGTGCCAGGACCAGGTGTGGACAGGGAGGCGAATGTTTACTCACGGGGCTTCCTCCGGCGGCCGCCAGAGCCCACCTCCACGGTGCCTGCCCTGTGCCGCGGCCCGGGCCTCTCGGCCCGCTGCGCCCACTCACGCAGGCTTCACACCAGGCCTGGCATGGCGCCCGGAGCCCCCCACGCGCCTCTTCACTCCAGGCCACAGGTGGCAGCCACGGAGGCCGCCGACCCTCACTACCCGACAGCCACGGACCTGCTGGTTGATCACGGCGGCCCTCACACCCCCAGAGCAGCGGGCGGGCGGGCCACAGAGAAGCCCACACCCCAAAGTGCCTTCCTAGAGGCCCCACGTCTGGTTCTGGGGCTCACGTGCAGGTGTTGACTCAGCGGAGAAGCTGGCCGTGGCCGCCCAGTGGAGCCCGGCTCTGTGACAGCAGCCTGCTGCCCCCCAGCCGGGTCTCTGGAGGCAGCACCCCTCTGTCTCCGTGGCCTCCTGCTCCTCAGGCCCGCAGTCCTGCCCTGTGCTGGATCTTCGAGGCCCAGTCCTGCCTCCTGGAGCTAGCCTGGGGCAGCCTACAGGTGGATTTCCTGAAGTGGCCTCACTCGGTGCCCCTGGACGCCGCTTGTAGACCACGCGGCTGTGGGGAGGCGGCAGCCCCCAGGGGCGGCGGGCGGCCAGGAGCTCTGGGGTGCTGAGGTACTGCCAACTAATTGCTCAGGGGCTGGGGGAGCCCAGAGGCGGGGCCACTGGAGGGGGTTGTCATAGGGTGCGGGAGTCAGGGGTCAGTGCTGCCTACTTACATTAGCACATGTATTCAACCCCCCCGGAGGCTGGTCTAATTACCGCCCCATGTGCAGGGGAAACTGAGGCAGGCTGCCGCACCGCCAGGGGCCGCCGAGCTGAGCGGTGGGCCCCTCCCCCCCACCCGGAGGAGCTGGACACGACGCCTCACTGGCCTCTCGCGTCCCCAGCCAGGCCCTCAGGGAGTCGCTGCTGGCGCGGCCGTGCGGACTCCACCTGACGCCATCGCTGGGGCGGCCCTGCCGGTCAGCGGGCCGCAGGCACGCTGAGACACTGCGGCCCCAGCAAGGCTGCAGGGGACTGACAGCCCCTCTGCAGAGAGGCTAGAGGACCTGGGTGGGGTGGGGGGAGGGCACTGCACCCCGGAGGATGATGCAGAGAAGGGAGGCGCAGGGAGGGCCCCCAGGCAGGAGACAGGGCAGGCAGCTGGCTTTGGGTTTATTTCGCAATGGATGTGAACAAGAATGTGGGGGCAGGGCAGGAGGACCCCTCCAGGCGGAGCCCTTTTCTTGGCCAGGTGGGGCTGCTGCCCACGGAGGGCCCATAACAGTCAGTCTTGGGGGTGCTGCAGGAGGGTTGGGCAGGCCCAGAGGCCTCCTCCCTGGGCCCAGGTCCCCTGGGCGCTCCGGGCAGTGTCCTGTCTCCCAGGGGTGTCCTAGGGGCGTGGGGTCTCCCGCTCAGGCTCCCCGCGAGCCAGGACACCGCTCGCTCCCCCCAGCCGCTCCTCGGCTCAGGGACCACCACTGCTGGCGCGGGGCCGTCCCGTCCTCCCTGGACACCGCGTTTGGCAAAGTCTCCGAACAAGGACTGACAGGCTCGGCATCACCCGTAGCTTAGACGCAAACACAGAGCCGTTTCCGTTCTGGGAAACTGGGACAGTCAAAGCGGAAAGAAGTCTGCAGTACATCTGCCTCGGAGGTGCCGGCTGTGGTTCTCAGGGGCGGCCAGACAGGGCTCTGCCCCAAGGTGAGGGCTGCGGACCCCGGCACTTCCCGCAGAGGGCAGGGGGCGGTGGGCAGGGCAGGGGGCCGTGGGCAGGACCGGGCGTGAGGGGCGCGGGCAGAGCAGGACCGCGCAGGGTGGGGGG